CCCCCCCCCCCCCCCCCCCCCCACCCCCCCCCCCCCCCCCCCCCCCCCCCCCCCCCCCCCCCCCCCCGCCGCCGGGGGGCCCCCCCCCCCCCGAACGTGATAGAAACTTCTTGAGCAATAAATAGCTATCCCGCTTGTAATGATCACAGTGGTATGAGATGAGGCAAAAAGGTTATTACCGTCGCTGAATGAACCTCGACCAGAAATTTATCTTTATTTTATAAAAGTAAATGATCCATTTATATTTATTTATTCATTTCTACCTTTGGCATCATCCGGAAATCGCCGTCGCCGCGGATTCTGATACGTTAAAGTGTTAAAGTGTTAAAGTGTTAAAGCATAAACGTGTATAATTGAGGGTGAGGACGTGAGAATGAGGATGGAGCACTTCTTCACCCACTTCACTCTCACTTCTCCACCCTCACCCTCACTCGCCGCGAGTTCGTATATGTAAAAGTGTTAAAGTGTTAACGCTAAAGTGTTAACACTTTAACACTGAATCCGCAGCGACGGCGATTTCCGGATGTTATGCTACCTTTATTTTTAAAATAAAGTAGAAATAAATAAATAAATATAAACGAATCATTTACTTTTATAAAATAAAGATAAATTTTTTTTTGATTTATTTATGTTATTTTTTAAATATAAATAACGAATTTATCTTTATTTTTAAGTATAGCTGATTCATTTACTTTTATCCATTGTTACAAATGAACAATAAAGCTAAATTAACACCCCTAACTGGTACTTGAAGTGCCAAGAATGCATTGTTCAGTACTATCGTATCTTATCCTTTCCAGCAACCGCACACCACCACCTTATTAGAGGCATCAAAGTTCTATGAAGAAACAGTCCCAGGCGCCAGACGTCGATCAAGCTTATTCTTGGTTTTGCCCGTTTTTATGAAGCTTGACTGAACGTTTCGAGAGTGGAGAATTTGAATCTGAGTACCGTTTTCAATAAAACTCCAAATAACAAATTACTTCAAGTAAAAATACAAATATTTTTTTTGTAGTTAAGTACAAGTACAAGTAAATACTTAACAAAACGAATTTTCTCGATTAAGTAGGTCAACCGCTCATTATCATCAACTGTTCAACAGACAGAAAATGTCTTGTACAGCTAAGTCAAAGGCATTCATTTATGCTTTGTTCAACGATTCCACCACATTCCTATCTACAATTCCTGTCAGCAATTATTTCGGCAAACACTGCTTTCAATGTTGTTGGGTCAATAGCCAATTTTAATGTACCCTGCATTCTATCATTTATTTGTTTATGCATATTATTTTGACCACCAATAGTTACAGTCCAAAATTCAGCAATATCTTGTCCTACTTGTGGAGCTAATACATCTAATTGCTGCTTCGGATAGCCAGCCCCTCCGTCACTAATAAACAAGATAATTGTTCTCAGATGTGGTGTTATATTGTTGTTGCGCAGTTGACTTAGAACATTAATTACAACCTGAAGTGGTTGACCAAACTCCGTACCACCACCGGTAAATCGAATATTATTAGTGTTAATGTCATTCATTTTTTGATTAGTAAAAATATCTGTATGTACTACATGGTCATCAAAAGGAATAATTGTAATTCTATCATCTGCACCACTCTCAATTCTTCCTTTAATCAGAGCTTTAGTTGCTATCATTAAATTATCCCAATTTGCGCCAGACATTGAACCTGATCGGTCCAATAGCAAAATATAATGAAATGCTGTCACACCCTGTCTTGAATTAACTGTTACAAACTCCATGTTGTATCTGCTGCAATAGTCTCTGCCAATCTTATTCCAAATAACGAGAAATTTACCTCGTAAACTAGCAACTTGATCACTTGCTACGCCAGCAAAATTCCATTTTGAATATGGATGCGACAATTTTACATCTCTCCATCTCATTGGAGTTTCATTATATCTTATAAAATCATTATCTTGAACTTGATCACACTGACTCAAACTTGCTTCTTTATTTTCAAATTTTATTCCAGTAAATGCACGCAATTGATGTCCTGTATAAACTCTGTGTTTACTATCTTCACTGCCTGAAATTATAAGAAATCAGTTAGTCTTTAGTTGACTCATTTCATATGATACACAGCACCATTGCATCCACGTAGGATGTCAACAGTGAGGCACGGTTTTCTAGATGTTGTTTTGAACACTAAATCTAATGGCTTATACCGCATCTTGCCGTCTCATGTGAAAAAACTAGCATCGTCTCAGCGAGAACGATATTAGGAACAAACACTTTCTTCTCATACTTTCTTTGCGTGGTCTGTTTTTCTATGACCTTCTTTACTTTTCTTTCTTCTTTTTACTATTATTTATCATCCTTCTACATCCTACTAAGGTGTCGCTAATTCAAACTTGCAGTCGGAAAAACGTTTTTTTAAAATTACACATATTCTGATTCAGTTCTTCGCGCTGATCACGAATATCATCTTATTTTCTCGAGTAGAGCGTATCTTCATGGAGAAAAATGCAAAATACTGAGCACAGTCAAAAGGCCAAAAAACCGCCAGTTTTCCTAAAACCACTCACAACGTTTTCCTGTGATCACCTAGCGCTTTCAAACCTTTTTCATTGGATTCCTCGTCAAGAAGTGAGCTAGGGAAAGTGTTTTTCAATGAGACTGGGAGGAAGTTCGAATTTTGACAGGCTCGGAAACATGCATACCTGGAAAGCTCGATCTGCATTTTGTAAATGTATCTAGCTTTTTTGTATGATGAGTCGGCCACTTCACTGATACGCCAAAAAATTCGGCATTCGGTGTAGAATAAGCTAACGGCTCGTTTTTATCGAAAAAGTTTTTCATTCCTGACGTACTCAAGAAACAATGTAAAAATACCTTTCTGGAGCTG